CCATATGCCTACTTGACCTGGCCCGTGAACCTGTTGTCCTTTCCGGAGAAGGGATTACGGCCTCACTTTTAGTAACTCGCTGTTCATATGGAAATTTCTTTTCAGAGCAAAGATCTGTCTTTCATAGCCTCACCCTAAAAACATGCCTATTTCTTAATTCCCTGACCGCGGACATATAGGTTTTTATGGTGTCTGGGAGCATACATTAATGTTGATTTCTCCGTGCCCCTTTGTATTTTGTTAATGTCACGGTCTGCGTTAAACCTTGCCAAGTTTCTTAACTGTCATGTTAATTCCAAGACCTATTCTGCATTCTCTGACATTTCAGGACAGAACAAGGCAGTAAAAATAGATTAGAAACAGCTTAGAAGTATTATAAAACCCGGAGCCTTGCAGATGGCGGAATTAGGTCTGCGGAGGGGAAATGTAGCGACGCTGAGCACAATAATATTAGCGAAGTCTATTCACCGCCAAGGTAAATATTTGCCGGGCTCGCAGGACGGCGGCCGGAGGCGCGAGGGGGGACCCGGGAAAGGCGACAAGTTCCGTCGTTTTAGGCAACTTCTTGCGGACGGCACCTTATCCTGGCGAGACTCGGGTTCCCAAGGGTTTCCTTCCCGTGAACAGGACACGGAGCAGCCCGGGGTTTTGTTCGGCGTCAGTTCTGAGGCCACAAACATGGCTGCGGGCCGCGGGCCGGGGGCAGGTCCCCGAGGGAAGGCGGGAGGGCCGGCGGTGGCTGCCCTCGGATCCTCACGGGCAGAGGCACTCGCAGGAACAGGCAGGAAGTCGGACCTGGTTTTCTTGGACGGACGGGAGCGCCCACTGTCCTGCGCGCGCTCCCATTTCAAAGGCGGGGCCCCCGTCTCCTCTCGGGAAGTCTGAGCTCCGCTCCCGCAGGAGCCGGATGCAGTCGGGGTTAAAAGTGCTTCCTTCCTCCCCCAGGGGAACTAGTACTTTTTTGTATTTTTTTTTTTTTAAATCCCCTTTTCCTTTAAGGAGGCCTTCTAACTTCCATCATGCGCGTTCAGCCCCTGAGGCCCAGCTCCCATCCCCGCCAGGCCCCTCCCTCCCCTGGCTTCTGGGCTCTCTCATTACCGCCGTCTTTTCCCACAGCCCCGCTGGCGGCTCACACACAACGCGGCATTAACCCGGGCACCGGCCTCCGGCCCCCACTGACCCCCTAAGACGCCGCGTTGAAATGATAATTGCTGCACTCCTCGCTGACAACCGGGGGAAGAGGCCCCCGTCAGTCACCACGCGGTATTCTCTGAGGCCCCGTATTCAGAACTCACAGATACATTAAAAAAAAGAAAAAGAAAAAGAAAGACACACACACACACACACACACACATCCCTGTCCCCCATCCATCGGCGGGAGGGGCCGCGGCCGGCAATTCTTTTCAGCTGACATAATCCAGATTGATTCGTTCAGCAGATAAAATTCAGGCCACTTCTGCCCTTTATGGGAGCAACATAATACCCGTCTTTATTCGGTGACAATGTAACCTAATGGGAGCGGAATGTGCAAAATGAGTGATCTTAAATTACTGGCCCCGCCAGGGCCCAGCACAAGCTGCGGCTTAATGCACAAAATCATTAGGCCCCGACTACGGGCGCCCTCTGCACCCGCGAGGTCAGGCCCCGCCTGCGGACGCTGTTTTCGGGGCAGAAACTCTTTGCTAATATCTCGATGAGGACCGTGTTCCGGGGGGACGGGGTGGGGGGGCGGGACCCAGGAACCACAGCTGAGGGAGAGCCTCCGTGGAAGGGGCGCTAGATAAGTTTTCCTGCGCACAACTCTGTACGCATAACTGTATGTTTTCAAGAAATTTGTGTCTCAAAATGTACCCTTTTACTAAATGCTTTTGCTCTGCGTGATTCTGTGTGTGTCACAACGTAATGTTTCTAGAACACGGATGCCCCCGGCCCCAGCCGGGCAGTTCAGTGGGTTGGAGCATTTTTCTGGACGCGCCACCCATGTGGGCACGGTCCCCGGTCAGGGCAGCAACAAAAGTCAACCAGTGAATGCATAGAGAAGTGGGCGCACATGGATGCTTCCCTCCCTTCTCGCTCTAAAACCGACCAATCGATAAAATGAGGCTGCCGCATGTATTTCCCCAAATAGCTCACTAGATACTTCCTGTGCGTAAGGACACGATAGGTTTTTATAAAATGTACGTGTCAGCATCTCACCTTTCACCAAAGACTCCCCATTTCACCGCCTGGGCCCTGGCTCCGCGGTGACCTGCCTGTGGGGCCTGGCGGGTGTCACTCAGCCTGTCCTTGGGGAGAAACGTGGTGGCCAGAAGCTCCCTCCTGCGAGTCAGCGTGGTCCTCAGATGCAGGCCCAGCAGGGGACTTGCTGGTGAGGGTGCACCTGTCGCATCCACGGGACATGTGGATCCCTCCTCGGCCTCCAGAAACCCCCTTCCCCCTCCCCGTGCCAGTGTGGACGGGACGCTGCCCTGGTGGGCGAGGGGCCCTTTGCCCAGATGCATCCTTTCGGGGCGACACACCCCGAAGCTCCCCCGAACCTTGCTCTGCACCTGACTTACGATCCCTGTTGGATTCCGCACACGGAGGACGAGCTGCCGCGGGGAGAGGCAGCGTGGAGAGAAGCAGTCGTGTGGCCCTTACAGACCCACGGGTGCCGGGGAAGCTTCTGGGAGAGTGACCGGGCAAACCCGAGCAGGAGAGACTTCCCTTGGACTGAAGCCCTTTTCTCCGCGCGCAAGGCCAAGCCTCATGCAATTTAATTTCTGCATCTGAGAGCCTCGCGGTCCCTTATCTTGTTCACATAGAAGACTTCCCGCGGCGGGTCCTCGAGCCCCCGGGGCCGCTGAGACGGCGCGGCCGCGCTCCGGAACACTGCGCTCGCGTCGGACCGCCTGTGTTCGGTCAACGCTGGCGCTAAGTGAAGCCGGCGTGCACAGGGTGAGGGAGCGTGTGTGGGAGGCAGAGACCACATGTGTCTAACACGTGCACGCACATGCACACCCCACACGTGTGAACCCACCCAATGCACACGTGCACACACCCCCACACACGTGCACACATGCACATATCTACATACACACATGCACACACGTAAACATACTCATCTACAAAGCCAGCATCATCACTGGCCCCGTCACTGGAAAATCACAGCATCTGACATATTTGCATGCGATGTACGGCCTCCACTGTCCATCACGAGAGCACAGTCCAACCGTCAGGCCCTGTGGCCTTGAAACTTTCAATCAATGGGAACCTTTGAAAGCTGAGGCTTCAGAAAGTTGTATGAAATATATATTCAATGAGAAGGTTAATTGAATAATTGATTACTCAGTAGCAATGCAGTGCTCTCTGGCTTCTCTGGGAAACCTCGAGCCATAATGTGACAGATACCCGTCCGTTTATCAGTCATCACTGCATCGGACAGTTACCTGAGGCCCGGAATCCTCTCTCTCCTTTGTATGCTCTGACATCAGAGTCCCCCGGGGGGGAGGAGACGGCTATTTCTTCTGCTGTGACCGAGGACGGAGAGGAGGCGAGGGGCCGGCTCACCACCGCGCAGCCTTTCCCAACAGCAGACACGGCCGAGTGGCAAGTCGACCTCGCCCGCCAGAAAGACACGCCCCGGAGTGCAGTCACGTCCACGAGGGACCTGTGGCCACGGGGACAAACGCTGTCAGCTGTCCCCGCCTCGCAGGATCGGCAGCCGGTGCGCCTCCCTTCTGCCTCGTTTCTCCTCACAACACGGCGGGCCTCCCGAGACAGAGCAGCTGCTGTGCCCCACTGAGGGTGGGGTGGCCCAGCCTGGCACCATTTGGTAGCAAGTCCCTACGGTCAACGGCTTTTAAAATGGGTGTCAATGGAGCGTCATGACATCACCACCCATGCACACGCCTGCACACACCTGCTCACACCTGCACATGCCTGCTCACACCTGCACACACCCGCTCACACCTGCACACGTCTCTGAGTCGGTGTGTTGGGGCAGGAGACCTGACCCTGCTCTTGAGAGATCGCCGCCGGCTCCGGGCAGACCCCACATCCACGTGGAGCGTCAGCCCTGGTTCCGGGAGCTCGGAGCGGCCCACCCATGCACACGCCTGCACACACGTGCTCACACCTGCACACAAGTGCACGCACCTGCACATGCCTGCTCACACCTGCACACACCCGCTCACACCTGCACACATCTCTGAGTCGGTGGGTTGGGGCAGGAGACCTGACCCTGCTCTTGAGAGATCGCCGCCGGCTCCGGGCAGACCCCACATCCACGTGGAGCGTCAGCCCTGGTTCCGGGAGCTCGGAGCGGGTCTAGAGAGAAGACTGAGGCCCCACGCAGGAGGCGGTCAGACCCCGACGCTCCGCTCACACCCAGGACAGGCTCACCGCCCGCCCGAGGGACCTGGAGCAGACAGTAGGCGAGGCCCCCAGAGAGCACACAGGGAGGACCCCGGGCCCCGCTTCCCCAGGAGCCCAGGGAGGGCGGCCCAGGAGGGTCAGCAAAGGAGCCAGGGAGGCGGAAGGAAGACCTGAGACAGTGTCGGCGAGAGCCCCGGGCAGGGCTGGCAGAGGTGCCCAGGCCCCGTGGACGCTGCTGCCCTGGGGCCGCCCCTGATTGGCCTCGGGCCCTGGCTTAGCCCGACGACATCACTGAGGTGGGGGCTGGTCCTGCTCGTCATCGAGGCAGAGGCGGGGGCTCGGTCGCCTCCTATTCCCCGCAGGACGGCGGCCACAGGAAGACCCTGCACCCCCAGCGTCCACCAGCAGGCCACCTGGGCTCTCACCCCGGATCTCGGCTCGGGGCTCCGTGCAGACCCTAGGGAGCAGCGCGG